ACCTTAATCCCAGATTCCACAGCTGTTGATGGATGGCAGTGCTGACTCTGCTCAAGCCACTCAGGTTCTCAGCTTCTCTGAACTTCTGTTTCATCTTCAGTAATATGGGTATTCTTAAAATCAAATATGTTAGCTATGCCAATTGCAGTTTCAAACCCCAGTGCTTGCCCCTGCATCATGCTGCCCTTTCCAGGAGCCATGATGTGTCTGTTAGAGAATGCACCATTCAGACTTTGTTGTATCTTCCCTTCATACACATTTCTGTTCACAGTGGACAAGGATGACTTACACCACTGGTCACACAAGACCCTTAGTCTCCTCTTTTCAGGACAACTGTAGCTAATCAGTTAATACTGGTTCCTCCAAGGATTTAGTTGCCTGTGAGCTCCTACCTCTGTCCCTCTTGATAAGCTCTGCTCCCGGGTATAAGAAGCCAGGTGTCAACAGTGACAATGCTGAGGCCCAGAGGATAGTGGCACTGGAGGTTTCAGACTCAAGAGAAACAGATGGGTTTTTCTTGGATGCCATGGATGCCAGCATGATGGACCACCAGGTCCTCTGTAGACAGCCTTGCCATCTAAGTAGCAGACACAGCAGCCTTCACAGACCTCCCGACAAAGGCAGGAGCAGTTGACACAGCTCTCTAAGGTACCCTCATACAATGGCATATTCTACCTCATACCCCAGCAAGCCTTTACTCAGTTGTTAAAAACAACATTTATATTAAAAGCAGGTAAACTAAAATGTATCAACTGGAAACAAGGAAGGTTTTTTTTCTTTTGATTTCTTTGTTATTAGGCCCCAAACACTGTCATATTAATGCACTCCTCTATTTTTTGTCTAAGTTTATTTATCATCACTATTTATCACTGCGGTTTGTAATTCTAAGGACTGAACGAAGGTCCCCAGGCACAGGGGGCATACATGCTATTACTGAGCTTCAGCTCCTGCCCTCTTTCCATATAACCACAAAATAAGAAAGTATTAAAAATATATGATTTAGAAAAGAAAAGACATACAAACACACCTTCAAAAGGATTATCAAATACTGGCAAGTTTAAAAACAATGAAACAAATAATTTGCACGAGTCATGTCACCAGTGATCAAGTAAAAGATGGGCCTTAGCTGTATAGGATGACTCTTTACGCAGGTGACCGCAAAAGCCCTGGAGGGCTTGCTGTGATCTAAGGCCCCAACACTATCAGAACTGAACATTTAGAGGTCTCATGACGTAAAAAGTGCAGTAGGTAGGAAATACTCACAGGGGTATTCTTCTAGACACAAGGCAACACTGGGGAATGAGAACAACCATTGCAAGTTAGAGGACAAGCTCCAAATTTGAGCCTGGTCGCAGCTCTTCTGTACCTCTGCCTCGGCAGTGTCCACTCCAGACTGCAGTCATGGACCATTTCCTTCTACAGTTGGTGCCGTCACGGTTTTGCGTTGTGGGGGGCACCCTGTCTGCTCCCCTCCCCATGCACCTCTTACTCTCTGCACACCTTTAAATGTGCCTTTTCTCTTACATGGGGGGCACATAATTGTTCCCACGAGCTTCAGGGTAACATCACTGGCAACGATGTACAAGAGGCAACATCAAAGGCTGTCTGGAACATGCTGGAAGTCTTTCTAAATTTCTAGGACTGCAATTCTTGATGCTGCAGCGTTGAGATGGCACACTGCTCCCATAAGAACCTTTTTATGTAACGCATGCATAATGCAGTGCGAAGAAAGGAACCGAGGAAAGCGTTTCCCCAAATTATAACTTGCATCTTGGTAATGAGAAGCTATTAAAATATATTTAAAAAAAAAAAAAAAACCCAAGCTGATGTGTTTCTTAGAATTCTGAGGTTTCCCACTGCTCTGCTATTTTCCCATTCCGTATGCACAGCAGAGATTCCTGCCAAGACTATTACAGTGAGCAAACAATGTCTTCTCTGTCAGAGCAGGGAATGAATAGTATCACAAAATTCTCCTCGAATGTACAGCCTACACTCCCCCACAAGCCTTCAGAGGAGACCAGCCAGGCAGGGGGAGGACAGAACAGGGCTCTCCCTTTGCCAATCTGAGACTGCTTTCCAGAACACCGAGGGTGGACTATCTAACCAGAGACAGTTGACAAGCAGAGTTTAATTCCGGTTGTATATTGCTTCATCCCTGGGATATGAATATACAGATACTTTTGTAAGGAAAAAGGAGGAAGTGCTTCATCACGCAAAACCTCTGGGCTTGGTGAAAATAGCCTTTGGCTACAAACTAAACAGCAACTGGGGAACTTCATAGAAGTTTGTGTTAAAATACTAGGGGCTGAGTCACAAGTGCCAAAGTGAGTATGTGCTCCATTGCTTCCCAAGCTTAGCCTTGGTGCCAGCTAAGCTCTTGATTCATAGAGAAAGGGCCTGGAGCTACCTATGCCCCTGGATACATAAGACAAGGCTGACCCACTCCTCTTGGGTCCCAAGGACTGTCTATGTCTCCCCCTCCACAGCTTCTTTTTAGAAGAGGCATTAAGTACATACTCTTCCAAAATGAGGCATTTAGAAAGCATTTTGCATGAATCAATGAAAGGCTTACTTGGTGTGCATTTTCAGAAAAGAACAGAGATTTCTTAAAACTTTTCTTATTTGTTGTCTTAGTTGGTGAAAAGTATAATGGCCTAGGACCTCCACCCCCACCCCTGTATGATATGTACAGAACACATACTTTATTTGACCTTTAATTAGAATCACTCAACTCTTTCATCATGAAGGAATGAATGTTATTTTCAGTCTAAACACACAGCCTTGCTCCCCTCCCTCTTTTCCCACACACTTGCTGACCAGTGCCATGATCTCCCAGGGTGAGATGGTGTTCTCTTGGTGACACATTTAGTGAGACTGCAGGAAGCTGCGACAGCCTCCCTTTCTTCTCTCTCCCCCTCTTTCACTCACACGGTCCTAGTCTGCACTAGGCTAGACAATCAAACCTCTGTGCAGTCCCACTGCCATCTGAAAATGCTAACCACGTGCTCCCTTCTTCCTACAATGGCAATATTTACCTTGGAGAAATGGTTGTCCAAAAAAGAATTTCTAAGTTCTGGCAATGTGTTCCGTTCAGATGTTGTTACAGGAGATTCCCTCTCCTTTCTTGGCCTGTAACCAAAAAGAAAGAAAGAATGTTGGGGGGCAGGGAAGACATATGGACAGACTGTGAAAGACGCTTGCCAGCTTACTGTAAAAACCCTGGCCTGTTTACCAGACATGGAGCTCTGCATTCCTCTCTAAAGAAGCTGCAGGTTTAACTTCTAAGCAGGCAAAAACACCTACAGCAGGGAATATATACCACTTTTTCCCCTCTGAAAAAACAGCCACATTATTATTTGATCCAATATAAATCAATTTACTTATTTTTTCCCCCACAAAGTCTTCCCAGTTTGTGACAGTAAATCTGTAGGTTACTGTAGTGCAATTAAGATCAAGTGACTGTTATCGACATCTGAGATAAAACACAGTGTTTATATGAAAAGAACATTTATACTTTTTGGCAAGGGAAGCTGTGACTCAATTCTGAAATTTTCTGATGGAAAGGAAGCTGTGGTGGTGTGGTGTAGACATCAAGACCCAAGGGCATGAGAATCTAATCCTTTGTCTTCCATCAGCACCCCACTACGGAAATGAGAAAGATGTTCAGAAATGGAGGCGACTCCCAGGAAACTCCCTCAAGCTTCCCCATGCATTGGCTCCCACATCCTGCCATTGGTCTGCTCTATTTTTGTTCAGCCCTTCACCCACCTCCCTTTCCTCTCCACTTTACTTCCCATCTTTTAACAAATCTCTTCGGTACTAAGTGTCTAGTTTTATCTTTTAAAGTATTTATTTATATGTATGTGTGTGCACCTTTATAGTATATGGGTGCCTGTGGAGGCAGGAAAGAAGTGTTGGAGCCCGTTGAACTGGAGTCACAGGACGTTTTGTGGAGCTAAACCTGAGTCTTCTAGAAGAACAACAAGTACTTTTAATTGATGAGCTGCCTCTCTGGCTCCTGAACACTTACTTCCTATGAGACACCATGCAGGGTGGGAGAGGGAGCAGGGGAGGGGAGAGGGAGGAGAGAAGAGGAGATGAATGGACAATGAAGGAATAAGTGTATTCTAATGAGGCTGTTCCAGCTGCTGACCAAGATCTAGAACTTAATTATTTTAGCAGACTGAGGTACAAATTCTGTTTTGTTTTTTGACATTCAGTTTTTAACATGAGCCACCCAGATTTGTATTAGCTGTTGTCCTTTTGGATATATCATGATTTCTGAGTGTTGCTCTCGTCTGCTGCAGAAGCGGCAGGTATTTATATTATATTAGGGTGCCATTATTTCTTCCCTGGCAGTTGTCAAGTGAGAAAGGCTGCCTTTTGTTTGCCAGTACTTCAGCTACATTATTATTTTCTCATTTCTAAACTAAATCTAAAATGATCAGAACATGAGGCACAATCATGGGCTTTTTCTTCTAACCCAACTCCAGGTCTCTCTCTGTCAATCACACAAAGTGGGAAGGACAAGGTTGCACTGGATGAAGCAAGCACTCCTGGGCTAAGTGAATTCCAGATATTGTTCTATTCTTTCATTAGCTTCCAAGCCAAACCTCCTCCCAAGCTCCTGCATGCACATGTATTTAGATGCAGATTCTAATCACCTTTTGGCGTCTCTATGTCAAGGCCCCGGCTCAGAAAACTCTTTTGAATTAGTCAGAAAGATGAGCAAGATTAATTATCCAGTTCCAATGGCTTCAGGTCATGGTTGTTTTTGTTTTTGTTTTTAAATGTGAAATTCTATCCATGCATATTAGAAATAGTACTTCAGGGCTAAGGATGCAGTTTGTGAGTTTGTGATAGAGGACTGTGTAGCATGCTCAGAGGGGTAGGTTTAATCCCTAGTATCACACAAATACAACTGAAATAAAAATGCATTTTCTATTCCTAGATGTGAATGAAGAAAGAGCTCGACTTAAAAACTGAACAGTCTAGAGTGGTGCATAATTTTGCATTGTCAAAATAGCTAGAACATGAGTTAAAAATATTCCAGGGAAACAAGAAGATAGAGACAGTGGTGCTATTACAAAGGCAGATTAGATGGGATAAAATTTACCACCCATGCAAGCAAATCCATGTATTTACATTCTGTTATTTACACGGCCAATTGCCTTTTAACATAAGTGCCAAGACTAGTCAATGGAGAAAGAAACATCACTTTAGCAAATAGTGCTGGGACAGGTAGCCCCCACAGATGAAAGAAAAGAGTGGAATCCTGAACTCACATGATATTAAAATTAAGCTGAAATGATAAATGTAAGAGGTAAAAACACAAAAACTACTAAGAAAGAAAGCACAGGTACATCTCCATGAGATCAGATCTGGACAGGGGAGCTACTAATTCAAATAAAATATAAAATAAAAAGTTGTGAGCTTTAGAAAACACTATGCACAATAAAGATGACATCCCAAAGAAGAGAAATAGGTGCAAGCCACTTGGTTAAGTAATTGCAGTGAGAATATATAAAAACCTCTTAAAACGCAGTAAGATATCCAAGTCCCAAATGAGAAAAGAGTCTGAATAAGCATTTCTCCAGAAGAAATTACGAAAGGACCAATAAATTCACAGATGGTCAATGTCAAAGAAATGCAAGGGTAAACTACAATGTGATGCTGCCTCATACCCTCCAGCTAAAAGAGTAATGTGTGCTGGCAGGATGTGGAGAAATCTGAACCTGTAGACCCTCTGCCAAGAGTATAAGATCCACTTTCCAAGTCGTCTAGAAGTTCTCTGAAAGTGTTAACCCTGAACTATCACTGAATCTAACAGTTCTACTTCTAAGTACATCACAAAGAGAAGCAAAAACAGAAATCCACACAAAGGTTGTACATAAATAAAGGTTTATAGCAACATGAGTCATAATAGTCAAAACACAGAACAATCCATGTGTCCATCAACGGGTGAACAGGAACAAAAATGGCAAACACATACAGAGTATTAGTTATATATAGAATAAAATGTCATATGGACATAGGTTCAACATGGATGTACTTTGAACACATGATAAGGGAAAGAAGCCAGCAACCCTGAATATTATGGAATCCAACTGATAAGAAATGTCCAGAAAAGCCAGGCAGTGGTGGCGCACGCCTTTAATCTCAGCACTTGGGAGGCAGAGGCAGGCAGATCTCTGTGAGTTAGAGGCCAACCTGCTCTACAAAGCTACATAGAAAGACCCTGTCTCAGAAAACCAAAAACCAAAAACCAAGGCGGGGGGGAACAAAACCACAATGAAAAATGAAAAAACAAAACAATCCCACAAAATGTCCAAAATAAGTAAAGCTAGATGCATACAGAAAGAACAATTGCTTAGAGTTGGGGAAGATGGGAGGTAGACACGGGTGAAAATGTTCTACAAATGATGTTGGTGCCACTCTGAACTAATACCCATTAAACTGCATCGCTTAGATGGGTGATATGTAAATTATGTCCCAATAAAGTTCTTACTAAACAGAGAAAAATATTCTAAAAGATGTAGACATTATATTTTTCCAGATCACTCTCAAAGAACTGTGGCAAACTTGCACTGAAGGAGAGCACTGAGCTCCATGGTAAATGATCTTGTGTGAGCTGCCTTGAGCAGAATGAATCCTCATAGACTTTGTTGTCCTTTGGGGCTCTGTTCATGTATGTGACTATCTGTACATGTGTATACCACAAATGAGGACTGACTGGAACCAATACTAAACTTTCATCTTGTGGGATTTCAGGACTCCTGAAACCAGCGGTCTACTCATCTTTCTGCTCGTCTGCATCCACATCCACGAGTCTGTGGACTGGGAAGATCGACATCATTTTCCTACACTGATTCTACTGACAGCTTCCTTTAGGCCTGGCAAGAGTTTCTGAACACTGATAGTGACCCTCCTAAGAAGGTCCAAACAAGAGGGAGTTTGTGATATGCTTACACCTGAAAGCTAGCTCTGCTTAAAGCCACTCAGAGCAATGGGAATAGTTTGATTTGGAGACCCTGGTACTTGTGGTATGAGATCTGCATTTGATAAAAAAGCCTGGTCCTGCAGCAAAAGTCATCCCTATGGTCAGACCATGACAATGTCATCTCAGCATGGGAAATTACAATGGAACAAACAAATTATACCAATGTTGAGCAAGCCTCCATTGTGGATGAGGCAGAGTGGATGTGATCAGTGGCACACTCCACCAGTGGGGCACATTTAAACAGACTAAAGACTCCATGCTTTAGTCATACCAATTCAGGTTTGGGGAAGGCATGGATGTGTGTGAGAATATGGTGAGGAAAGAGGGAAGGCAGGAAGACACTTCCTGGGATGAATGTTTCCGGTTCAGTTTGTTTGTTTTGGTTTTCTCTAAGCAGTCAGTTCAAGTCCCCTGGCTGTCTCTTGTGAAGAGTGGTACAGAACCCTGATTTGTGCTGCCTTACATACCATTCTTTATACCAAAAGCCAAAGGTCACAGCAGCTTCTCATAAGCTTCATGGTCCTGCTGTATAAGGTTATCTTAGCTAAAACAAAATGTGAACATCCTTCCAATCTACTGTGGCTAAACCCCATTTCTCCTTCCCGAACCTTTTGCAATTGGACTGGGGAGAGGCTGCTTACACATCTTCTGTGGCAGTTCTGCGTCTCAGATTTGGGGTAAAGAGTTAAAGGCCAGGGTGTTCCTGATTCTTGAACTGCCGGCCATTTGTTGTGTAGCCATCTCTCACAGTTTAAAGCAATATGTGGAGTTTCACCCAGACAGGTTTAATGTTGACTAGGACAGGATTAGGATAAAACTCCAAGAGCCTGTCTCCAGGAAGATAGCAATTTATTAATCGGCTCCCCTGGGATATGCCTACTAAATTAGCTATTAATCCAGTTAATTATACACATCCCCAATTTGTCAAAATGATGAATGTCAGCAATTTGATAGATTTTTGGTAAAGAAAAATCCATAAACTAATGCATACTACTTCCCACTAGCCTATTGGCATTCTGTGATGGGTTTACCAAATGAACAATAAATCAGAGATCTCCCTCTATTTTAGACAGAACACACTTCTTTCCATTCAATTTCAATATTCAGTCCTTCTCAACAATCACATGAGCCCATAAGTCTAA